ATATATTTGCAATTTAATTGCAAAATATAATCATATAAATCTTATCAAGAAAAGATTCATTATAGCTGAATTTGGATCTTTTCAATATGAGTTTCTGCTACGAATCTGTAAAATTTTGATTTCATAGTGAAGAGCTAGAGAGGTTTGCAACTGAAGCACAGTCAGTCTCTGCTCTGGACCAACAAAAATAAAATGCTAATTGTAATGTTTATTCCATTCAGAAGGACAATATTCCCGAAGAAGTGATTTAAGAGGATTCTACAGAATCAAAAATACAAAGAAAATAGTAATTTGATTTTTAAGTGACAGAAATAATCTTATCATCATCATCATAGATTTGAAATGTTCTTGAGTTACAAAGAGATGCTTTTGAATAATGATTCCAGATACAGTAGAGCATCAAAAACTCAGCCTAATGTGGATCGAAGGGTGGCCGAGTTTGTGAAAATGCCAGATTATCGGGAATGGGGTTAAAAAAGGATAAGTATGCATGTTTCCTCAGAAAATATTGTACTGCACTTGTATGTATTGTTTGCTAGAGAATAAACTGCCCAAATACCCTTAAACAAAGGAAAAGTACGTCCTTTATGAAGGCATAGAGCCTTTACTACATGAAAATGAAAATTAATGAATACATAGTGTACAGTAATTTACCTGATAAGACAGACCTCAGAAAAACACTTTGTGAGGCATAAAGCTGTCTATGATGAAAATTAATTATCTAAGGGAATTTTTCCCTGCCAGGGTGTGGCCGAGTTATCCGGAGTGCCGAGTTTTCGAGGCTCTACTGTATCAGTAATCAACATTAGCTTGACAGAGTGTCATATTTCATACATTCAGAAATTAAGGGTTGTCTCTGTCAATAGTGAGATAAGAACGAAGCCCTAGGAAAAACTTTTGTAGTGTGTATATGTTTGATACTCTATCATGATACACAAAATATAGAATAAAAGATATTTCAAATTAAAATTAATTTAACATTCCTAACTTTTACCTTGATTACTATTGTTATGATGATTATACAAGGCATTTCAAAATGATTTGAATGATAACATGTTTCATCCAATATCCAGTGAAATACATTGGAACACATCAAGTTTATTTCTGAACAGGCCCAGTAATTCATAATTCTATTACCAGGTCTGCCACAGACTAGTTGAGAAAGCATTTTACCTCTTACTATTTCATATGAGTAGGTTGGTGATGAGTGTGAAACATCAATTTCATAAAGAACTGCTAGCAAAGAGCTTCATTCAAAGGTGATTATGTGATCAATTCCAGCAAAATGGGTTGTCTTTGTAAAGGGCAGACCTTCAATTTCTATGGCTGATATAGAAATAATTAGGGAATGTTTTCGGCAGGGCTATCAAAAGTGTAGAAAGAGTGAGCTGGGAGCTTGCAATTTTCAAAACAGCTGTGTGGTGTAAATTACATAAGTGTCTAAAAATGCACCCTTATTGAGTACAGTTGCTGAAGTACTGTACCTAACACCAGTGAACTACATCAACTGCTTCCAGTTTTGAGAGTAATTTCAAGAGTTGAGCAGTGACATTGGTTTTTAGAGCAGTTGCAGTGATGAAGCTACACTTTTTGTTAGTGGGAAGGTGAACAAGCAAAATGTTTGCATTTGGGAGAGTGAAATCCTCGCCAAGTTATCTAACATGTATATGATTTGCCGAAGACAAATGTTTTTTCTGCTATCTACACATTAAAAGCGTACAGCCTGTACTTATTTCCTGACATGACAGTAACTGGAGCATCATTCTTAAACATACTGACTTCGTGGCTTATGCCACAGCCTAAACATGACAATGCCAATTTTATCTACCATCTTCATGGAACCACCGTATCGCTACCACCATGATTGTAAGAAACTTCTTTAACAGGTGGTTGTCACATCAATAGATAGGCTGTGTAGTTAATGCTGATCATCATCATCTTCAGTGGCTCCAAGGTTACTAGACATCACACCCTGTTATATTTTTCCTATGGGGATATGTGAAAAACACTGTCTACAAAACCACTATTCCCCATGATATGTATGAATTGAAAAATTGCATTTGTGCAACAGTGGAAACCATTGATGAGAACGCATTGCAGTGTACCTGGACAGAGATTACTCCAGAGCAAGGGTGGGCAACCTTTTTTATAACATGGGCCAGAATAAATTTTACGTTTTTTCCGCGGGCCATAGTAGTTAATTGACACCCTGTGACCTTTAAATTTTTAGTTTGCAAATATGAAATAAATTAATAAATAAATTAATTACTACAGTTGACCCTCCTATAACACTGTTGATTATTCTGTTTTATATGAATTCCATGTTGTATGAGTCACTTAGATTTTAGAAATGCGTGTGCCGGGCTGTGAACGGCTCACCTATTTGTAAAATCTGAGTGACTTTAAACACAATAAAAACAGCACTATATAGTTGGATACGACAGACATTACATTTTCTAATTGCATAGCTTTTGCACATAGATTTTCTTGATGGATGATGCGATGAGATATAAATAATTTAGAAAAATTCAGTTCTTTCATTTTTTGTTTGAATAAAGAAATGACTCCCTTATTTTTTTTGTCATTGCTGCCGCAACACTTCAGAAATAAATATTCAATTTAAACTAGACAAATTACATTGAAAAATATTTATTTATAATTTCTTCTAAACATCCCGCGGGCCGGGGGTTGCCCACCGTTGCTCCAGAGTAATGAAGGGAACTCTGAGCATCTGTGACACTGGCTGTCACAGATGCTCAATGTGAGTTCCCTTTGAAAATACAATCGAAGAGAAATATATAATGGAAGAAAAGTATCAATAAGTAGCAATGATGGAATGAAAATGCAAACTAAGAAACATACACATGCATCATGAAGCAAATAAACTGTAGCGAGGAGGATTAAAATAAATTTGAAACAACGCTGTCAAACAACCAGCAGCGCATTCAATTAAACTTGTCCATAAGAAATTTGAGGGCATATCTGATGCTCCAATATACCTGAAAATCAGTTCTTTCACCAATTTGTAAACAGGAGCAGAGTCTCAATCCTGCCAAGAAGTTCTCAGAGACTTCATAGACCTAGAGATAGTTGTACTTTATTCAAGCATAATATCTGGTCATTGCTTTCTTTTACACGACAATAATCTAAATGATAACTATCAGGGTGACACTCAAAACAGAATCATTATATTTGCCATCTGTGACAATCTTTGTTACCTGTTTTCCTCAAATATGGAATGTTTCAAATAATGCCAAATATGTTTTACTAAATTTGGACATTTTGGACAATGCATGGACAAGTGGGATGAATGGTATGTTTTTCTTTATGTACAGTGAAACTTGACCAAAACAGAACACAAATAAAATGGAAACCTGCTTAAACAGGAGAAATTCTTCAGAACTGAGTGATTTTTCTGCATTTAAAAAGAACCATTCAAAATGGAAAAAATATTCAGTACCACGCGATTGCAGTTTACACAGCTTTTACTATAAATGTCCTCATGCAAAGTAAATTATAAGAGAATTCATATAACTTTTACAAATGCTTAAAGAAACAGCAAGCAAAATGCAAATTCCAAACATAACCCTTGCCAATTGTGATGAATTTGGAAAAAGCCACTAAAAGACTTTTTACATGTATGCTCATTTTGGACAGACGATATACACAGAAGTTCAATAGTTGGGCTTAAGAGCCAATACAATGAAGACAAACAGTGCAATAATGCAATGGTTGTTGTGCGTCATATGATTGGCTTTTGCCCCGGTGATGTTACAGCATTTGAAAACTATTACTGAACCAGCTGAATGAAGAAAACAATGATGATGTAGATTATATAGATAGAACACACACATGGACAACCTGCTCAAGGTAGAAGATAATCACTTTCATCACAATAGCCAACTGACACATCCAAATGGCTCAGTTGTCTATATGAAAGAATAACTGTGGATGAATTCAGAACTAATAATGCAATAGAAGGCAAGCATAACAAATTTAATATAAAGTAGTGAACAAGAGGAGAGAGAGCCAATATTTTTATCACTAGATGAAATAAAGAAAAAACAATATGTTACTTAGACTACCATATTGCAAATTAACACAGGACAAAGAAACTTGAGGCAGAAGCTTAACAAGAAATAGACAAATAGAATGTATGGATTGTGTATTGGCTTGATTTGGTTAAAGCAAGTTAGGACATGATAGAACCTTTGAAATTATGTGTTTATATATAAAATGCAAAGCTGATATCAAATTTTTAAAAAAATGCAAGCAAAATTATTACAAGAAAGACATGGAATTCTTTCTTCCAAATGTTTGCTCGAGATAATCACAATTCTTGTCCAAAGAATATGTTAATTGTACAAAGCACTCGACAGCTTAGCCCTCTGGCACAGTCTGATTTTGCTGAAAAATAATTAACCAATGTCAACTCGGCAATCACGCAAGAGAATGGTGACAGAAAACTGAAAGTAGAGATTAACTGAATGTGACAAAGATAAAATGGATAAGTGTGAGGGGTTACCTTCGTCAGATTGAAGTTTAAAGACTGTACTTAACTATTCATTCTATAATTAGAAAATAAAAACGATCCATTGTGCCATTCTGCTGTTCTAATTAAAGCCAAAGCATAACTGTCTACCTCTAAGACAAATTATTTAGAATATAATTAATTACATAGCCATATTATAGCCCAATAATTTGGCAGTTTATTTCGTACTTCTAAATATTTTGGGGAGTAGTGATTGAAAACAGCCCATATTTTCGGTAAAGCACATACTAGAGTTTATTTTATGGTTCTTTGGAGTATGTGTAAACAAAACAAAATACACCAGTCTATACAAATTTTATGAGAAATGCAATGGATACATGAGAGAAACAACCCATAAAGAATACTTGGTATGATTGATTGATATATTTAGCCATCAACAAATTTACTGTAATGTGTGTTTTAAGAAATATTTATAAAAGAAAATTTGATGTGAATTATTAACAAAGATTGTATTTGAAAACTTAAATATCTCTCTGTTTTAATATGAAAATATTTATACAATAAATATAAAAATTTCCTAAATTTACGAATTATCATGCCAGTTCTTCTCGGTCATAACCTAAAATAGGTGCAAGCCACTTTTCTACTTTATCGACCGGGAAACCCTTTCTCTTTGCGTAATCTTCCACCTAAAATTTGCACTTGTAAAAATTTTGAAATGCAAAAGAGATGGAAGAGACACTGCGACTCACCTGATCCCTTGCTATTTTTCCCGTAGAAAAGTAGACCGCCTCGGGATGGGAGAAATACAGACCGCAGACCGAAGCGGCTGGATCCATGGCCAAACTTTCAGTCAGTCTGATTCCGGTCGCTTCTTCCACTTTCATTAGTTTCCACATAGTAATTTTTTCGGTGTGGTCTGGTTGGGTTGGATATCCAGGAGCAGGCCTGATGCCCTGTTAAATTTAACAAGTATAATGTTTTTTTCTTTTAAGAAAATATAAATCTTTTACAAGTTCATCTCTTTAATAGCAAGGTTGTGGCCAAAGTTTTCACCTCTAAAACATGAATGTCAAACGTCAAGCACCGCTATCTTGTAAATAGTGCTCAACGTTTGACATTCATATTCCATATTCCTTCTTTTTTTTGATAAAAATGATGATAAATCTATATGTAATCAAAAATATGTTTCATATGAATATGACTATTAAAACACCTTATATGCAGTATATTTAAATCCTACTTTCACATAAAAATTATCTATTATCTTAATTAAAAACACCACTTTAAACTAAGCCAGGCTTATTGTATCTCACTCTAAATATTTGCATTTTTCATTTCATAATGCTTTTAATTGCTAAGATTAGTTAGTGCATATCACAGCTTTATATAACAGTGTTGTGTCCATTACAATATGCACTAACGTGCGTATTGTAACGGACACAACACTGTTATATAAAGGTTTTTGTGGATTATTATTACTCATCGCAGTGTTAAAGTTAGAAATCATACTGTGTTAGAGAGAAATATTTGGTAATTTTTATAATTTGTATATCTTTTTTGGGTAACTTTTCTATAAGAATCTGTTTTTACTTTTAATGGAAGCATTTTAAAATTAGAAAATTTCCATAATTTGGTTGTCATTAAAGTGTTTGAAGAAAGTGTTCTAAAATCAAATGGGTCTGCGACTTGATCTGGTTAGGGCACGGAAGGCTGCAATTTTGTGAGCAAAGGGGTCAGATGAGTTCGCGGGGATGAAAAATGGAAGCTGGTCCAGTTTGCGGTTCATCCCTGCGAACTCGTCTGACCCTGAACTACGGGCGGACTTCCGAAACACCAAAGTGATCAGACAGGCATTTCGTATTGATCACATCCATCACCTGGAGGCCTGGAAGATCTTTAAAGCCAACGTTGGGGCACCTGCATCAACTTTAGAGACGGAGAGTCGATCGCACAGGCTTGGAGATACTTATTCGAAGAATTCGAACTGGGACAAGTGGAGGGGTGAAACGCAATATGCGCATTATTTACATCTCAGACATCATCATTTCTATGGTCAGGAGGAGACACCGCTTAGTCAGACCTGAAGAAGACCTTGGAGGTCGAAAACGTTAGTGCATATTATAACGGACACAACACTGTTATATCCACAAAAACCTTTAGTTTTTGTGGATTATTATTCTTCCTCTCTGATTACAGAAGTTGTTTTTAAAGCTACTTTTTGTTTTTTTAAAAATTGGAACACATTTGGCACATTATCACTTTCTTTTTTTACTCTTTCTGCCCCATGGGCATAAAAAGGCCTTTTTTTCTAGTGCACAATGAGAGCCCTAAATGCCTGGGACAGACCACACCCAAAAAGTCGCCTAAATTTGATGCCAGGTCTCCCAGAGTGATAGAGTGGTGTCTTAACCATCTTTGCCAGTGGCAAATATAATAATAGCTGCCGTAAGCAGATGTGCAGGGTGTGCACCATGCACCAAAAGACATTCCTAATTAAGTGCCCAATTTAAGTTATGAAAAACAAAAAATGTCGCAAAAGTAAAATTACAAGCTTCAATTGTCAAAGTGTTAATGCTTGCATTATATATTTATATGAATTTATATTATTGGACAATCAAACATGTGTGAAGTAGCTTCCTGGTGGAAAGTTTCTCTTCCGGCAAAGAACAAACTTGTAAGGACTTGTATAACGACATTGCCAGGCATTCATACCATCCAAACTCAGTTCAAAAGAGTTTTGATGGTGATAAAAAAAGTAGGTATTCACAGTATAGTTGAACTAAGGAGTGTAAAAAAATAGGAATTGCAAGTGTGAGATATCCTAGCAGCGGCATTGAATATATTAATTTCAAATTCACTCTTCTTCCAATTCCCAAGAAAGCCATTTGGAATTTACAAAATTTAATGTTCTGGCTCTCAAACATTCTAATCACTGCTACCGATGATTACTTTTTAAATTTTTGTAAAATGTAGTTTTTTTATTTGTAGCATTTAAAGAGGGTTACACTTTTAACTTCTTACTCAAGATTATCAATTTAAACTTTTTATATAATTCTTGGAATTATTATAGATTAAAATTACTATTTCTACAGACTCACCTGATATTTAATCTTGTGCAAAGCAAATGAATCCAGGGACTCATCTGAAGAGTAACCCCATAATTCTTTCCTTACTTTTTCGTGTAGCATCTCGGCAAATGCCTTACGGATGAAAAGTTTTATTGTTAATGTTAAAGAACAAATGGAAAAAAAAATTTAAAATCATAATTTGCATTGAGAAAACTAGCTTATATCTTACATCATGGGTGGAAAGTAACTATGCATTGAGAAATCACTATAACTTTTGTAATAATAATGAAATCATAATATAATTTATGCAGGCATATACATAAATCAATGGAATTTTATAATTCCTACATTGACAGAGTTGGCAGTGACCAAAAGAGGCTGCTTGTACAGTGGCAAAAAAGATGTCCGACCACATGTCTACTCGAGAGTGAGTGCAGATTGCTTCACACTACGAGGTATGGAAATTAGTGTTTATTATGAAGAGATGGTGGTGTACAGTGAAGGGACATCATGCCACAACCTATCTGGAAACAATGAAGAATTGTCATTCAAAGCATCGGTTGTACATACACAGAGAAATGTCATCCATTCACACCACAATCCCCAGTCATTTTAGGAAGTTGGTGGATGGCATTGGTGCCTATGTTGAATTTTAAGGTATACAAATATTTCCATTTAATAAGTTACATGTCAAATAATTTTCATCATCATTGCTTTAGAAATATAAAAAGTATAGCAATTTCTTGATGCCTAGTTATTTTTCAATCACCCTGCAGTTTTAATTAATGAATTAATACATATTTTGTAATCGTGTAAAAAGGTTTATATACATGGAATATTAATCTCCAAAAACTTTTGTGAAAACTCATATATATCAATTGCATTGTTGTTAATGTGAAATGTTTCATGCAAAGTATATAAATAGCATTGCTAGTAGCAATGTTATTTATATACTTTCCACGAAACTACTTGGAGTTTATCAAACATTGTTCACATATCTTCCTTCCCTACAAAATCAGAATGACTGAGAATCAAGGAAATGGTATACTTTTTCTGAATTATTAATTTATTTCACTTAATTTTTGAGTTCTGATGTGTTCCTTCCTTTTCTGCCTTAAAATTACGACAGATTCATTCCTAGTATTAATATTTAATTAAAAAATGTGTATAGAGGGAAGGAATTGTTATTGGAAATAAGCAATAAGGGAATGACATAAACATCAAATTGCTTGATGTTCATCTTTTTCTTTGATTGTACAGTCACAGAGACTGTCTCCCTTTTTTTAGGAAGCAGTGCAGGTAGCATTTGAAGTTTCCATGTGCAGTTAATATCTGGATAAGAGCGTGATTTGTGCTCAGGTGTTTTAGGTTGGACCTTATGGGCAACGTCAGGGAGGAAATTGTGGTGGAACTGTTGTCCCACTCCCTTTGCCACCATGACATAAGAACAGCAGAAAGTTCTCTGCATACATAGGAGATTGGAACAGAGGAGTAGGAGAGGTGAAAGGCCACCTTGTGTGCTTTCTTAGCAAGGCCGTCTACCCTTTCATTGCCCCTGTTGCCAGAGTGTCCTTTAACCCAGTAGAATTTAATGGAAGCAGCAACTTTGAGTGCCTTGATGATATTCAGGGAGTTAATGATTTCGATTTTTTAATTTGCTGTAGGGCCGTACAACTGTCGCTCATGATGTTTATCGTTCTATCCCTGAACAGTTGAATGTTGTCTTGCACATACTTCAGGGTTTTCCAAATTGCCAGAGACTCTGCTTGGTTGTTAGTGCTCTTATGAAGTTTAAATGCCACTTCCCAAAAGATTTTCTTATGTGGGTCTTCCAGACAGGCTGCTGCACCAACAGCTCCGGACGTCTTGGAGCCATCAGTGTAGATGCAGAGCCCCCCAGGGGTTTGAGGGGAGTGGGGGTCAAAATTAGAAATGATCTGATTTGCAGGGTGAATGATAGGTTGATCAACATTGAGATCAAGGCCATGCTCCAGGACCTCGTCCAGCAATGGGTGGATCTGGTCAGGTAGATTGTAATTGGTAACAGTCTTGTGAATATACTCTTAGCTGGTGTTGAAGGAGTTCATGTTCACCAGGAGATTCTTCTTTTTTGCTATAAAGTTATTCAATGTTTATTGATCTCCAATGTGAGGAGATCTCCAATGTAGAGGATGCAAAGCAATCAAAAGCATATGTGCTGCATTTGTATCTGCACATGGTGAGATATCCACAATAAAAGAAATTATCTATTAAAAAGATCTAAATAAATAATTATTAAAAGATGCAAAAAGTCAATAATAGCTGGTGACATTTTATTCCTTAACCTTCCAACTTGGCCAGTAGATCATTTTGGAGAATTTAAACAATGATATTGTTGAATCATAAAAGTAATGATTATTCAGGTGGGTTAATATGCCTCCCAAGGCTCTAACAGACCATGGCCTGCTATAAACTTAGGTTACGAATACATTAAATGTACACTGGTGTTTGCATTTGATACCACTGATACTCGAATCATTTTTTAAAAACTGTAGCTAAGGTTAAATGTAAGTAAAATATGAGCTAAAAATCAAACAGAATATGGGTAAAATCAACAAGTGAATGTGTGCAATATGGAAAGCCATTCAGTTAATGATTCTAATTAAACCTATACTTCAAAGAAATAATATAGAAAACTTGCACTTCGATATCATCACTCAAATATTCCAACATCAACAACTGCCGAATGGAATTGGCTCAGCTGATAAAATACTAAGACAGAAAAATTGGAGATTTGGAAATTTACCAGCTATTGACTGTTAAAAGTATTTTTTAATGATTCTAGCAATAATTTTTCTATGTGCTAATTTTCTATAGCATTCTATGGAACAGTTTTTAAGTAAATTATAGATATAAATGTCTTTTATATGAAAAATTCTGCTTTTTTAGTTTAAACTGTTACTGAGTTATACCACGTTAAAAAATGAAAATACCATTTAAATGGCACTCACTTCGGCTAATCTATCGGCCAAGGCCTTAACCATTATGACACCGTAATCGTCCAAATTTTCTTCCAATCTTAAAAAAATAGCATATATTACCATAGGGAGGATTTAAATACATAATAAACTTATTAATTAGTAGAATATAACAAACTTTATCACCTATTGCACATTTCTTTACATCCAAATCCTGCAGACACTGCAAACATTCCAATGTAATCGTTTATTCCGCTGTCTTCTGGAGCAACAAAATCTGACAAACACAGATAAGGATCTTCTGTTGCTGCAGAATCTTTTTCTAGCTATAAATATTAAATTCATTTTTTTCTTTACTTTCTATTTTAGCTTCTTATTTAACATGCTAAAAATATGTCGTTACTTGCTGTCTCAATCCGTGAAGTATGGCTAGTGGAGTACTTTTCAATAAATTATCACCCGAATACAAAATTACGTCGTCTCCCTTGCTGTTTGCTGCATAAAATGCCACAATTCCTTTGGCTTTTAGCAATCTGTCTTTGATTATCATTTCTAAGGTATTTTTGGCATTGCAGTATAATTTCTTTGCCTCAGTTCCTGTCGTAACGAAAAGTATCGAATGCTTAAACACGCATATTCAATACTAGAAGAAAATGCCATTTTACCATTTCAAAATTCAAACTTGCCAACTGTTTTATCTTTAAAGATCTTAGGAAAACTTCTGTTTGGGTATCTACCACGCAGCTGCCACACGTCGAAAAATGGTTTCCAATCAATGTACGGAACTAGAAAATTTAAATCTACGTCGTCGAATACTTTTGTACCGAGAAAAGTGGGTCTAACTGAACAAAGAAATGAGTAAATAATTATTAGATGTAATAACAGTTTATATTATTTTTGTCCATGTTTCCTTACCTGGTTTCGGTCTTCTGATCCAATCAATATCTAACTTCTTATCTCTAGCCTTTTCTAATGATATGTAATTTTTATGCTGAAAAGAGTTTTAATGTTTAAAGTAATTTATATTAAAATGATTTATGGAAAGATTTAATTCATGTATTAACATCTCTAAAGCTTTATCAATCTCTGAGACTAAGAAAATATGATGTTTTTAAATTTACTGTAAAGTTTACAATGATATTTTTATAGTCACTTATACCATTTTCTCATAAATTTATTTTTAAGCAGCAATTGTTTGTAACTTTTTGGTTTACTATACGTAAGCACTGTTGGAGTCTTACGTAAAACTTAATCCTTCACAGTAATTACAATTTGTTATTTTTCCAAAATGTATGTAAGGTGCATCTCGCGACTAAGAGAAATCTCCATGTTCTCTACAAATCCAATTCTTCTAAGATCAATACCAAATTTGGATCTCATTAAGTGACCCTAGCCAATCATCATCTAGATCAGATTATGTGAGGAAGGTCAGTTTATGCAAACAAACCATTGATTTATGGAAGTTTTATTACTCCCTACACTGCCCAGCACCATATTTTAGAGGTAATGCAAATACAGTCGACCCCCCTATAACGTACGTTCCAATAACGACAATTCCTATAACGTAGCGAAAAAATTGTAGAAACTGTCGTATAACATACCTCCCATAACGTCGTTTCGCGACAAGATTGATAGAGTCTGGACCAATAGTGGATGAGCAGCCGAACTACTTTCCTCCGACCCTGCGCCATGCTACAGAGCGGCTAAATTGAGTTTGCTATCGTCTGTTTAGTATTATATATAAATTATATATAAATTAGGTACTGTACATATAATTATATATTAATTATATATAAATTAGGTACTGTATATATAATTATATATTAACTTAATTTATTGTAAGTTTATTATAATTATATATATGCTTTCTGCTGCCTGGCAACACGCTACGGAGATCTTAGGCTAGTAAGTTGAGTTTGTTATCGTCTGCACAGTATGTAAATTAGGTACCGTACCGTAAGTCAAATACAGTACTAATTTTATACATTTCTTGTGAAAGAAACACTTCTTATTCAACGGCCATAAAAATTATTTATATTAATGATGTCTCCAAAGGTCAAGTTATTTTTCTGCGAAAAATTATTTATTAGAAATCGCGGCCGCAGTTTCATGTGCTGTTCCGCAACGAAAATCAGCTTTAAGCAACGGCGTAGTCGAACAGTACAAACTCGGTAAGTAATCCTATAATTTTTTGTTTATAGCATAGTTTGTACAGATTACTCCCAAAAAATTATAAGTGTTTTGGAAATGTTGAGTGGAATTAGTCTAGAATCGGTTAATTTTATATAAGAAAACCTTTCGAACAGCCTTAGTCCGTAAAGTTCCCACCTTTTGGGCTGCGATTGGCTCATGTATTTAATCATTCATATAACGTAACATTCACTTAGCGTGGAACGTATCTAAGCGTTATAGGGCGGTCTACTGTACCACAATTTCACAATATATATATTTCAGAATACTACATACACAGTACAGTAGACCCCCCTATAAAACAGGTTCATATAATTTGGATTCGTATATAACAGGGAAAAAATTGAGACTGTATTCGTATGGACAAACTAAAAGAAACTCGGAAAATATGGTAAAACGTCATCACCAACTTGTGTCACGACAGGATTGGTCGAATCTAGACCAATAACAGATATTGCACAAACCGTTGAGTTTAAACGAGCAGCAAACTTACTAAAACCATTTATTATTTAACGGCCATAAAAATTATATTTATATTAATGATGTCTCCAAAGTTCAGCAAATTTTTCACAAAAAAATAATTTATCAGGAAACAGGTGAGCCCCATTTGATGCGCCACTCCGCGACGAAAACAAGCTTAAGCACTGGCATCATCGAATGGTGCACACTCGGTAAGTAATCCTACAATTTTTTGTTTATAGCATAGTTTATATGGTACTATGCATATGTAGCTAGAACTATTTCTAAGAATATCAGCACAAAACCTTTCTCACTAATTTCTAGCCGTTTTAACAGGAGTACAAACGTTTTCGGCCTTCTTAATAGGCCTTCCTCGGGTACACTGTGGAGCGTCGGTTAGAAGTTTAAATGCTGCCAATGTTTACCCAGGTATCGTCTTACCAGTGACGTCATCATCGATGATAGGTATAGACGATACCGAGGGCGAAAATACAAACTTTTGGTAAAGAAGGGAGGTGTGCAGATAGGATACCTGCTAAAGCTGGGGAAAAAATTTTTAAAGTAAGCACGCTACATACAGGAGATGCACAATCACAACAGGGGGTTAGTGGGGAGTGACGTCATAGTTGAGGCCATAAATATTCAACGATACAGTAAGAAGAGGCGTGCGAACAACCATGGATGGGAAGGGGGTTACGATTAGAGGGTGGAATGGGAAATAAATGCGACAAGTAAAGAAGAGCACTAACGGTTTCACGCGTTGAGGGTGGGATGGTCTATTTATTTCAAGGGGTTGTCGAAGAATGATTTCCAAGCGGAGGAGAGCGAGTCCGCATCTCTGCTGTTGATACAACCTTCTTTGAGGGATTGCTTAAATATTTTAATTGTTTCGACTGTTCTAAGCTTGGTGTGGTCGTGCATAGGAATAGTAATCCTCGCCTCTTCCCATTTGGTCGTTATGCCAGGTTCGCTTGCAAACTGGGCAAGGGTCTCGAATGACCTCTTTACTTACAAAATGTCTGCTTTCAGGACCCTTATCTGCAGAGCTTTTACCCATTGCTCTAGCATTAACGACGCGCTACGAGAAATCCAACGCATCAAGCGCATCGCCACAGCCCACAGTTTCAGCAGTAAATTTATCGATAAGCTTGCGCAAAAAACTCATAGATGCTTAACAACCAGAGATGTCAACTCCAAATCTCTAAAGCAACAAGGGATTGTAATCCCTTTTTGGGGTGTGGAAGGGTATGGTGAAGACACCACACCCTTCCATACAGACGACGTTCGCCAACTCTCCCTTCCACCTAAAGGTATTTAGGGGTAGATTTTATAAAAGCGCTCTCTCTCTGATCTAGAAACTAGGACAGCGACCTAGCTAAGAATATAATCGCCAATTTCTGTACATACTTTAAGATAATCGCATTTAGCTTTAGTAGTGTGAGATCCGGACTTTTTACCGAATTCTCCGATTAATATTCAGCATTTTTCTAAACCCCCAATTTAAAAAACCTAAACGACAATCTAACGAAAAAACGGGAAAATTTCCGATCTCCCCTTTCGTTTAAAGTAAACATCCGTCCATTTCGAAACTAATCCCACATTCCACCTCCAAAGTTGATAGTTAGCATGGGCCCGGGAACAACTCTGACCCATCTGCGTACCCTTTACCTCACAACAATTAGTCACATGACCATTTTCCCACGCCGAACTTATAAAAACCCCTCCCTTCCCCTTCTCGGGGGAGTCGCGTTCATCTGCCGTCATTTTAATACTGTGTCCTATGAATATTGTGTCCGATTAATATACTGTGTCCTATCGATATTGTGTTCTGAAGAAAAATTATTATCCTTATCCTACCAACCCGTTGGATATCAAAACCTTTTTCCTTAAGAATATTTAAAGACATAAAGAGGTATGGAACAAATTTTTGTGAACTCTCTCTCGGTCTTTCGCGTTTCAGGGACTCAGATTTTTCCCTTTGAAATTAGTTATTGTATCTATGTAGCTAATAAATCGTTGTAATCCTGTTAAATTGGTGTCCTCGTTTGCTCGTATATCGCCTGTCATCTTACCGACGCACTCCTCCCTCCGCCACTCGACCCGAAACATTAAAGCCCGTTACAGCGGGAAAAAGAATCTTTCCATACATCCTGACAGTGAAAGGGTTTAACAACCTGTTGCCGGATCGGGAGGCCTACACCCTCCCTGGCGGTTCACAGTAGTTTTGTAACTTAGTTTTGTTAATTAATAAATGCTTGTTATTCTGTTGACCTGTCTCCTGTCTAACGGCACCTGCCAGCTTACCAACGCACTCCCCACTCGATTTGCCCTCCTACCGCCATCTGACGACGCCGAGATCGGGCTTCACAAGCCTGTGCAGAGTAAGTGGTCATTGTAGGATTAACCCGTGGCCCTCTGCTTATCTCACACCTGTCTACTATACAGAAGTATCATAAAAATATACCAGTAAATTCCTATCGGTTGGGTTAAGTTATAAATCTACACAATTACATTCTGAATCATGGCTAGCAATTCAGAATGTAATTATGATATGAAAAATACATTTAGAAGTCTACAGTTTTTACTGGCTTATCGAACAAACGAATACAAATGGACCCTAGACCATCACGTGCAATTAACTGATTGTCCCTGGAAGTCGGCTTCTTACAGAAACACAGCTTCCCTATCATCTAATGTCACGGCACGCCACTGGACTGAAGAGGGGCATTAAGCCCGAAATGCATATCCTTTCCTATCAATAAACTGACCTTTTTCCACTAAAAGTATTCCTGTGTGATTTGTTCTCAACGTCAACCTTATGCTAAAAAAATACATAAGCAAATATGTTTCATGATCTACCAATTTGTAGCTAATTACAATATACATTGTAATAAATAAAAACACTATTTAGCATTGTACTAGTAATTAATTTGCATTATTATTTACTTTGAACAAAATTTTAATAAGTTAAATTCAGTTTTTAAACCGTATACTCAATACCTTTAAATTCTGGTAGTAGTTCTCTCGTATGTCTTCATATTCTTCGTGAATCATTTCGATAAAATCCTGTTGATTATTTCTATCCATTAGAGAAGAACACTGTAAAAAGCATCTGTTGTATGAAAAATTGAAAAAATACATTAAAATTCTGAGTAAATAAGTTGCTAAATGTATAATAATGGCATAAAAACTAAATTATGCATGTAGTCCTTGATTAACATGCTTTTGTTTTAATGTAATTTAATAATTATTGATAATTTTCATACCATGCACCAAGTTTCATTATAATGTGGTTGCAAAGAAGAATGCTACTAGACATGGTATGAAGAATTCATTTAATGCATTTTTGCTTACTGCATTCCTTTATAGGAAATTATTTATTGCATTTACCAAGGACTACTTGTATAGGATGGTTATAATTAAACTTGTAGTATTCAGAGTGAATCTACTCCTGGATTACAGTGAAAGACGTCTTCATAAGAACATGCAGAAGAAAATTTGCAAATACAGCATGGAAAATGGTGGCTTGAAGCATGTTTTGGGGAATGGCTGAAACATGCCATGTTATTCTTGTTTTCAGTTTAGAGATTGATTAAATATCACTTTGGTAAATTCAGTTTTTCAAATAACTTTATAAATAAAACTTGCAAGGATTTTGCTCAGGGAATGAATGGCCAGGCATTAAAAAACATTTGCGAAATTAACCTATCCTCACCAAATGTGGTATTTGACAATTATGTTGTCATACATGCAGTATGAGATGGTGCCTCATCCTGCAGGAAGATTATGGAGGATAAGAAACTTCCTGCAAAGCTGGGATAATCTTATGGGTGAGAAGATCTGTGTAATGAGCTGTATTGACTGATGCATGGCACTTTGAAGCATGATCACTTCAATATGCCTCATGTGACTCTTGTAACTAGCTGCAATATCAAGAGAAATTAGTAAGTAAAATGCTTTACTAGCACTCTGACAACATCTGCTGACTTAAAAATCAACAAATTTTTTATTTGCAAATTTTCTTCTCCATGCAACAAATTCTCTACATCACTCTGAGTAATGTAATTTTAATTATAATCACCCAGTATTAATAACTTTTAGGCAAAATTTATCTTCATCAAAACTTAAATCTATTTTAATGACAATTTCGTTTAAAATTGATAATAAAAACGGTTTTAAACATTTATTTTGCTCACAATTTATTTATTTGAGATTATAAATTACTATTATTTGCCAGAACTTACAACAATAACACTTTTGGAAGCATCTACAACATGAATAGTCGGCTGGGAATATCTCGGTGCAATCTTTACGGCAGTGTGAGTCCTTTGGGGAAATTTAATGAAGTTAATTGAAAACTTAATTAATTAAGACATTCCTAATTATTATTTATATATAATCTCACTTTGACGTGGTTGCGCCACCAATCAAGAGTGGTAATTTTATTTCTAATCGCTCTAATTCCTTAGCAACGAATATCATTTCTTCTAATGATGGAGTAATAAGTCCCGACAAACCTATTATATCTGTCGTTTATAAAATTAATTATATTTTCTAATAAAATTTTATACAAATTTTAAACTGTTTTGATGTCTTACCAGCATTCTCGCTTAAGGCAGTTTCTATAATGTTTTTACAAGGTGTCATAACTCCAAGATCAATTACTCTAAAATTAATATTTATATTGAAGTAAATTCATATTTAAATCTTAACTCATTTAATTGTAACATTTATTTTACCTGAAATTGTTGCAACCTAATACTATGGCAACTATATTCTTTCCAATGTCGTGTACATCTCCCTTGACGGTTGCCAATACAACGGTGCCAACGTAGCGACTCTAAAATTTCAAATATTTTTCACTTAGGAATTCAAAATTTTCAAATATTTTAAAGTATTGTAATTATTACTTTAATTTTATCTAAATTTGACAGTTGTCCTTCTTTCTCTTTTTCCATAAATGGAATCAGATAAGCCACAGCTTTCTTCATTACTCTAGCAGATTTAATTACTTGAGGAAGGAACATTTTTCCAGAACCAAACAAATCTCCAACAATATTCATACCCTAAGAGTATAAAATATAATAAAATGTAACCATTTCAATAAATTTTTCATCTTAGAATACAATTTATCCTATCCAGGCAACAATGCTTTCAAAACACAGCCCCAGTCACTTGATGAATGATGCTAATCTTTCTGTCCAAGCTTGCTAATCTTTCTGTCCAAGCTTGCTAATCAGATCTTCTTATAATGAAAAATCTTAAATACTATCATAGCCAGATACCACGATAGAAAATTGTGAGAATGGATTAACTATAATCTTCGGCTGTGAGTGGCTGATAACTGTTACTTTTACCATTTTTATTAAATAATATTCAATCATCAATTATTATTAATCTCCAAGTGGATCTGAAAACAAAATTTGTTCTCTTGGTATTGTTAGTTAAAACTACTCCAGAATTTGAATTTTTTAGGGACAATACAACAAAATTTTTCTTATAGTCAACAAAGATATCCAATTCACTTACAATAGTATTTATTACATGTGTTTTCGGTAATCGTGATTACATCACCTCTGATAATGATTTTTACACATTTCTTAAACTGCTTTCCATTCTTACCTGGGGCATTAAGGAAAAATTTGTTGAAATTTTATTGGTTGGCATATGTGAACTATGGACATTAGTTTTCTGGAGGAGACGCGATATCCTCATAATCGTGATAGTATTAAAGGGGAAAGAAACAAATGGACAAGAAACAGCAAATCAGGAGAAAAAAAATAGTTTTAAGCAATAAGATTATCATATAATTATATTTGGCAATTGTTCACTCCTCTTTACACTTGTTACTATATGAGAATATAAATAACATCATGATGACAGTGCCTATTATATGTCTATTAGCTAAAATACAAAGTTTTTCTTTGCCAAATTTCTTCACATCATTGTTTATAGGCTCGTCATATTTTTTCCATTTAGATAATTAATCCTGCTACATAAATACTTTTACATCTTTTTTTAGTATAATAATAAAGTATTACACAATTAATACTATTAAGTACATTTCTCTGATGTAAATTTGATGACACTAACCTGTCATCATTAAACCTATCCATTCAAGTATAAAGAACTCAGACGTACAAGCAAAAACAAAGCTAACTTGCCTGTACAAGTATACCAGAGCCCATTTTCTTGAAAAAAATGCTGAAAAATTATTGTGCAGTGAATTAATCTAAATGAAATATGATGAAAGATATTAAAAGTAAGTTTTCATATTTTTATTTATAATGAAATAAGGCAAAATAAATAGATTAATGCCGGGAAGAGAATTAAACAAGATATATTTTATGGGTAATAACTTTAAGTTTTTGTGTAATAAACACTATTTCAGGTAATTTCAACCATAATAATAATGATATATATTTGATATTGATTATTATAATTTATATATTACATACAGGATGAGTGAAAAGTCTCTAGCACACTTTTCATTCAAAAGTAATATAGTTACATAGGATGGAGAATTGAATGGGATATTTTAGTGCTGATTTTGAAAATCATTTCATTTTGTTACTTTTTAGCAAGCAAAGATAATGTAAAAGTTGCAATGACAAAGTTAAAGAGCACCATTATTAACACTACTTAATTTCATTGATGTAACTGTACAGTACATAGAAATGAAATGTAACATAACTTGGAATTTTTTCAAGAAAATATGTTTATGAATACAAAGATATTGCTGATATATTTATATTTACAAGTTAACTTTGTTTTCATCCATCCATTCAAGACTTGATGTAATTCTTAAACCCATCCATGACAATATAAGTTAGAAGAAATAGAAGAAAAATTACTTTAAAAATAAATACGACAAATAGAAGAAAAATTACTTTAAAAATTCAAATTTATTTCTAACCTTCATTAATGGCCCTTCAATTATGGACAATGACGACTGATACAGATCTGTTCGTTGCCGCGCTTCTTCTACGTCCTGTTCTATATACAAATCTATACCCTGGATGATAAAGTATTTTATAATAAGTAAAAGTAATATTTGTATTTAAATTTTGGCAGTAAATTAAAAATACCTTGATAAGTGCATATTCTAATCTCTCTTCTAAGTTATAAAATCTCCAATCTTTTTCTTGAACTACTGTTTTATTGTCTTTTCCTATTTTCTAAATTTTTTATTTATTTTAAAACTGAATTAGAATTATTTGCAAATATAACATCACATTAACTATTATCTAATTTTCATATTAATTAAAATAATTGATTGTATTTTAAATTAACACAAATAAAATATTTTATTTATTGATGATAATAGCAGTGAAGTTCAGAAGCACCGAAGACAGAAGTTAAGATGGCTGCATCATAAATTATACGCATATTACATACTTCAAATGAAAATTGTGACATATAAAAATGTATTTTGAACTGGTTACCAGAAAAATTACAAACACACTTTTCCACATAATCTTCTTTTTCAACATTGACGTCTTCAGATTTATTAGTACAGTAGAGTCTCGAAAACTCGGCCTAACGTGGACCGAAGGGTGGCCGAGTTTGTGAAAATGCCGGGTTATTGGGAATGGGGTTAAAAAAATAAGTATGAGTGTTTCCTCAGAAAATGCTGTACTGTACTTGTATGTATTGTTTACTTGAGAATACAACAGAGAATAAACTGCCCAAATACCCTTAAACAAAGGAAAAGTACATCCTTTATAAAGGCATAGAGCCTTTACTACATGAAAATGAAAATTAATGAATACACTGTGTACAGTAATTTACCTGATAAGACAGACCTCAGAAAAATACTTTATGAGGCATAAAGCTGTCTATAATGAAAATTAATTAACTAAGGATTTTTTTGCCCTGCCAGGGTGTGGCCAAGTTATCCAGACTACCGGGTTATCGAGTGCCGAGTTTTCGAGACTCTACTGTAATGGCAAATGCACATATTATATTCGTTTATATAAGTAATTGCATTTTTATACAACCTCAAATTTTCTTGATCAGCTGCCTCTTGATATATCAATACAAAAGAAAATAGAAATTACAGTTCTGGTATATTTGAAACCGTGTCCAGTAATTTTTAGTAATTCGAACACAAATCAATTATTGTATTAACCACAATCGTACCCAGCAAAAAATAAACAAATACGTAGCCGACACCTTATTATTCGCTGAGAGATTTTTTATTAAAACAAACTTTTTCAATCCACTCAATAGATCATTATCAGGCTAAATGGAATACTTCATAAATGGAACAACAAGTTCAAAATTCAAAAATACCAAAAACCGATAACATAACAACTAATAAGAATAAAAAATAAATTGTAAATGATACATATAAGTAAAAATAAATAACATAGACAGTATTAATATTTAGTAGTATCGCAACTAACTAGAGTTTCCTTTAAATCATACTAGAGATCATGCGCCACTTGTAAGTTTTTAGTTATAGTTATCATCTTAGATGACATCAATATCATCTTTAGCAAAGAGCATATATCCACCAGCGTATTCATCAAACCAACGCATAGCCCACTATGCATCCCTGCAATGTCTAATGACCCATATTGTTATAAATTGGCAGTATTTCGAGCTTTGGTTAGAAGGGCTTTTATATACTGTGAAAACGTTATAGACCGGGATACAGAGATAGAAAGAATTATGCAATTAGCAGGAACATTAGGTTATAAGAGAAATGTTATAGTGGGAATTGTTAGAAGATTTGAGGCCAGTAATGATAAAGTCTCAAGACAAGGTCCATTAAGTACACGAAATTTACATTCAACAAGTATTTAGGAGGAATTATGAAGGAAATCGCAAGCATTAAAGATGCAATGGTGATCTTGAAAAGAGCTCCGAATTTGTACAAAATTCTTAGAAATGATAAAGGGGTTATTAAAAAAGAAGATAAGGCAGGTGTGTGTAAGATTCCCTACGAGAACTAGCTATTAGGAATAAAAAAAGAATATGTAGGGGTTACTACTAGAAACCTAGGTGTAAGAATCAGAGAACACAGGTATGATATTAGAAAAGGATCTAATACAACAGTATTGGTCCAGATGGCACAAGCAGAAGGTTCTCTGGTTCGATGGGATGAGGCGGAAGTCCTGAAACAGATACACTCTCCAACTTTGGCATAAATGGCTGAAAAGATGGAAATTTACAAAAGCAAGCTTAAAGAAAGATGCATTAACGTCAGGAACGTGGAGGGTCTTCCCTTGGCTTGGAAGTATGCCATTAAAAACTTACAAGTGGCACATGATCTCTAGTATGATTTAAAGGAAACTCTAGTTAGTTAAGATAGATTGAGATTTCACTGTATATATAATAAAATGGACATCTACTGAAGTTCAACCCCCTCTGTCTGACTTATCTTCACCTCTTCCCTCCCTTTCAGTGTGGACGTCATTTATGGACAACCTCTTGCTATACTGAATTTTTGTTTTTCATTTTAACAAATTACTTAAAATACATTACCTATTGTATTAATTTAATAAAAAAATTAAGGAAAAACTGAATAAATTTCTTATTAGAAGCGAAAACGATAATAAAAATTCACTAAATAAATACCTGAGCATATTGTAGAAGTTTATCTGTTGCTTGGCTATCTTTATTCCACAACAGATCTTCACACAAACGAAGCAAGTTAGGTTCGATGTCGTCGTACAAAGGAAGACAACCCGCATTTACAATACCCATATCCATTCCATTCTGAATAAAATCAAATAGTTAATAAGTTCTGACGATTAAATTATAGAAAACAAATTTGCATCAATATAATTACTCTTATTGCATGATATAAAAATATGCTGTGCATCGCTTCTCTAATTTGATCCATACCACGAAATGAAAAGGAAAGATTAGAGATGCCGCCGCTTATCCTTATGCCGGGTAAATTTTTCTAAAATAAAAATATATTAATTTTTTCTCTTGCTTTAAAAATTGGTGTGTGTAAAGCAAACTTTACAAACAAAAATACAGTTTTTTTTTTTTTAAATCTAAATAAGTAAAATTACCTTAATTTTTCTTGTTGCATTTATAAAATTAATTCCGTACATACTATGTTCTTCTATACCAGTTGCTATAGTTAATATGTTTGGATCAAAAATTATGTCGAAAGGATTAAAGTTTGCCTTTTTGGTAAGTATGTTGTAGGCTCTGGTGCAGATTTCTACTTTATCTTTCTCACTGGTTGCCTGAAGATTATTAAGACAATAATTAATTAGATACAGTGAAATTTCTGAATGATTAATTAAGTTAGCATCATGTTATTGCCTGATAACATGATAATTGTTTAATTATTAACAATAAAGGCAAGAGTCTAAATATGTTTTCTGTTTTAAATTATTTTCTTATTATTTAATTATAATTTTCTTATAATATATATGGGAAGATAAGGACAAGAAAGGTGTTGGCCTGCCACTGGGAACTTGAGTTTGAATCTGGGTTGGTAATCTTGGGAATATTTTATGGATGGAGTGTCTGGATAAATTAGGATTTTTTCTCATCACCTGCACCTATTATGGGCCTGGTCAAATTCATATATATATATATATATATTATTATTATTATATTTCTCTATATTCTTCCAAGAACAAGTCAAAACAAATTAAGACTGTTTTTCCTCAAGTAATCACTCTGGGGCATAGTAACTGTGATTTTTTTCAAAGGAATTCAATGTGCTTCTGGACATTCATTTCTGTCAACAGCTAACTGAGCAATTCTCACTCTTTGGAGAAGGACATAACTGTGATATAATCAAGTTTCATTACCAATGACAACCAATTGCAGACATTGTTAACCAGATCTACCACCAGACATTACAACTTTTGAATACTCTCGGTCTTCATCAGGCTTAAAATCCATTCCAAAACCTTTAAACGTCCAGTAGTAATCAATTTAATAATAAACAAACGTTTTCGACCATACTCTCGGTCTTCATCAGGCTTAAAATCCAGCGTTTAAAGATTTTGGAGTTTTAATTTATATATTTCCAGTACTCACGTGAGAAGATTTTAACTTTTGAATACTTTGAGCAGTAGCACATTCAGATCAATGTCAGATATCAGGGTACCCATCAAGAACATATTTTACAAACAAATAGTTGTGCAAAATGGTGTGGACAGTCTGATTGATCCTGCCAGAGTTGATCACATGATTCGACTTTTGCTACTAGTTGATGTCAAGATCTAACCATCAGTATTCCGTGCACTTTTACTCGAGGATAAAATGGTGGATGTTTATCCAGTGAGCTCTGGCTTAACACTTAAAATATGATAAATCAGTTAGCGCTTCTTGATAAATTAATAACTGGATTGCCAATTTTTCAAAAAATCTAACAAACTGTTTATATAAGCCATCTCCAGCACTTCACCCAGAATTATTGTTAGTTGCATATTGATAATCATTCTTTACAATGGTGATCTAGAATTTGATTATAATTTTGACAGGAAAAAAGAATTAGTTTTAATTTGTTCTTATACAGTACATGTAAAATACATTAGATACAAAAACATCTTCACTTCCACCCTATCCAGCATAAGGAACTAACAAATAATCTTCCTTTGCAGCGACAACCTTTTATTGTAGCTATGACTCTGCTACAATATGCAAAACAGTTAAAAATGTTCACTGATGATAAGCCATAAAAGTTTGTAAAAACTATATACTAAATTACTAAATATAAACTACTATAATTTATATTTGCTATAGCAAGCCAAATTTATATTGCTATAGCAAGCCAAATGATCACTATAATGAATTGGACTACTTTATCGCTATTAATAATTAAATAATCGCTATTAAGTAATTTGATATTAAAAGTAGGCATTAGGTGCCATCTCTTATTAAATGTTTTATAAATATTTTTTAATTACTAAAGATTGACATATTAGACTACTTTAAATAAAAATTAAATTCTACAGTATTTGTAATTTGGCCACTTACTTGTCCAACTTCATCAAAAGCCATAACAACAATGGCACCTCCATATTTAGAAATACATCGTGCCTTTGATAAAAAGTCTTCCTCTCCTTCTTTTAAACTTATAGAATTTATTATACATTTGCCTTGTGTACATTTCAGGCCCATTTCTATGATATTAAAATTGGATGAATCTATGCAAAGTGGAACCTATAAATATATACATGATTACAATATATACATGATAGAGGAAGGACATATATATGCACATTTACATATACTATGTGTATATACATACACTTATCAAATTGTACTTCTCTGTTCAATTATATTCCAGAATAGAATGTATATGTATAATAAATGATAATTGGTAAAAAACTCTGAGCAGAAACCTTATCAATACTGATTTTAATGGGACAGATGTAACTCAGATGACAAATAAGATTCAACAAACAGTATTTTAAACGCTACACCAAATATAATATAATAATAGACAAAGTAACCGTCAGATAGTTCATGTGGCCGTATGCAAGACAGGATATTCATCTGTTAAATTTTACTACGTTCTTACCAGGTTTAAAAATTCAATATTCCCACCTACTACCCTACATTCGAAAAGAACAGTTGACATGGGTAGAGTCACCAGTTCCATACCTTAGTCCCCTCTCTATATGCATTTATTGCATCTTAAAAAACATGGCCACCTCCTGCCTCTCTCCATACAGCCAACTTTAAGTGGCTTATCTGTAATGATACGGACAGGCTCTCTCTTCCTGAGAATTCTGGGCTTTATGCTATACCCCTTTCACACCCAAAACACACTATATCGACACTATGACCAGAATGCCGTTGAGTTATTTAGTGGAGCACCAACAGAATATCACAAAATGTAGATGCTTCATAGAGCTGACTAAAAAAGTCATAGAGACCAAACCACACTCCTCAAATGTTGTGCCAATTGTAGAGTATTATTTATTTGGGAAACCCTCCTCACTTCCATCTTGCGCACATGCAATACACCCAAACTCAAGCTTCCTATCTTGTGGATCACACTTTAAACTTTTCAACTACCCTATTCATTTGTTTTATAACAAATGCTCCACAGACTCATGACATAAAACATGTTTTGAGAGTTCTGTTGCATCTTTTATTTTTATTTGTCTTTTGTTTCAAATTTTTTACTCTTTTTCATATTCATGAGCCTTGAATTCCAATGCGAATTTTAAATGTATAAACGTTGAGAATATTATAATGCACACAGTGACATTCTGTTCCAAAATTTGAGATGTTCATTAGCCTGATGATGATTTTGTGTCGTTGAAAGTACTTGTGTTAAAAAAAGGATTTTAATATCATCTAACATATTATTTGACTCACTGTTTAAATGTATTATTTTCTATACATAATATATTCAAATTACTTATATCTATTAAACACTTAAACCAAGGTGATGTTTGATACTATAATCTTATTGTAGCTTCATGTTCTTTAATTCATTGATTGTTTTAAAACAATATAAGAAGAGAAATAAATCATAAAAAGTTGTACACATTTAGAATCATATGGGTGTTTTCAAGAACTACCAAATATTTACTTTATGAAATTCTATTCTGTTTGAATTTATGAATCACAGAAAAGAAAAACCCATTGGGGATGTGTGTACAATCAAATCCAAAAAAGCAATCCTTGCATCCTTCCAATCCACTTTAGTAAATGTAAAATTGAGAAAACGGCAGAGAACAATTGAATAAAGTATAGAACTCTTCATCAGAACCCTCCCATGTCAGAAGTACATTATTAATATACCACAAGTAGAGAAGAGGTTACTGTACAGTAAAAATTCTATTCTATTCATTATCAATTTGTATAAATTTATTTTTTCATTTATATATTAGTACAAACTTATAAGTAATAACATATAATTTATCTTACTCTTGCAATGTCAGGTTCCGTCGCAATCAGATTCAAAAACATTTTCATAGCGTACAACCCATCAATCATTCCGTCATCCATGTTAATATCTAAAATCTGTGCCCCCATTTCCACTTGTTGCTTGGCAATTTCAAGTGCATCCTTTATCAATTATAAATTTAAAGTCTCAATTATTGTATTTTATATTAAGTAATTTAAATAATATGAAGTATTTAATCTAAAAATTCCTAATAACAATAGAATGATATCTAGATTCTTATAATTTAAACATAGATTTATTATCTTTAGATCTAATTAGTCTAATTTTAAAAATTTACCATTTTTGCTTATGAAAACATATACACAGCTTCTTTCAAACATATAATTATCATATATATGATAGTTATAATCATTATATTGATTAGTGATGTGAAAGTATGTACTATACTGTACATCATACATTGTGCCTATTTTGCATGTGTATCTACTTTCATGTAAAACATATTAAAGATTTACTTATATGCAAAAATTTATTAAATATTCTTTTGATGTTTATAGTCAAAGAAGACTTGTCGACAACTGGACGTAGCTGCTTGCCAGATTTATTTATTTACAAGTAAATGGAAAAGTTCGAAGAAAATTGATTTCCGCTCCCAGATAATCAACCCCAAAAAGAAATAACACAAGTTTAAAAGTTAAAATAAGTTAAAAAACACACAAATTAAGAACAAAAAAAACATAACAGATAAAAAAGTAATAACAATAGGAAATTAAAATTAAGTTACAGTACACTTATAAAACTTTGTTTATTGTAATCAGAATTCTAGTTATTATTTTCATGTAAAGATGTATTTTTATGCTGTCTTTTTGCATTATCAACCTCGATATGTGGCTAATAATGCATAATATTTGCAGATATCAGTCTTAACCAGTGCTTTAAATGTTAGTCATTTTAATTTTTATTTGTTTACAGTGCTGCAGTTTAAACTGCTGACACTTATCACTTCAATTATATGCTGAATGAATTACTATTAATTAACAATAATAAATCTTCAAATTATACATTTATTAATTGATTTAGTATTGTCATTTTAATGCCAAAATCAATACGAATAATGAAAATTCTGATTTCACACATATTTACCTACCCTATTTAATGTTCTTAATTTGTTATCATCATCATCATCAATTAAGTTGAGTTTAAAGTGACTATATTAAATAAATGTGAGACTTCAATAAGTTGTCATTTGTAGTGTGGAAAAAAAAATAAAGAACTGTGTTAATATTTCATGCTTTTATGTTTACATTTACAATTCAGTAATCCACTTTAACTTACAAATGAAGAATACATAAATTTCAAAATATTCTTTCCTAAAATAGCTGTTGGATATTAATATGTTAAAACCATTACAGACATTCATCATCATAATTTCATTTCAAATTGAAAAATAAAGAGATGAAAGGACCTTATAAAATTATAAGAGAATAATTACAGTTAAACAAGATATAATATTTTACAATCTTACCCGAAACTGGTTATTACGTATAAGTCGGGCAAATCTCTTGCTTCCGGCAACATTACATCTCTCTCCAATATTTATGAATAATGTCTGAGGACCAATCCTTGCCGGTTCTAAACCTTTAAAATATTAATGTAAAATATTAATATTAATTAACGTCTTACATTATATATGTGACTATCAATAGAAATAAACTTATTAAAGTTCTTATAATTGCATTGTAATTTTAAAGGGACCTAAATAATATTACATGTTAAAATAAGATTGTTTATCATTGAAAAATAAACAAAAATATTCCTGTATATTCTATTTCTTTTATATTCTAATGAGCTATAGTTATCAACATTGTTCAAAGCACACTATTACAATATCAAACTTAATCTGATAGTTAGCTATGCAAAAATACACCTTATCTAAGTGCTGGTTGTTGGCTATATTTTATGTTATCACTTCCTGCTTATATTGTTTATGGAGAAAGGCTTCGTTTATGTGTTAGTAAATGGCATTATTGACAACTTATTAATTTCTTTGATCAAGATGTTAAACTCCATGAGTTATTTCTGATAAAGCTGACAAAATCTAGACAGCTGTTAAAACAAGGGGATTGCTACCCACATAAAGTTAATCTATGAAGTTTAATCTTACAATCCTCTCCCTATCTCACACGTCACCCCTCTTTTAACACATGGATGGCAATCCCCTTGTTTTAATATCTATGCTTTATCCACAAAGGTCAGTTAGCTTGGCAGTGCATGTTTAACATGACTGAAAATGTTTTCTCTTTTGTAAAATTGTGCTGGAGAGTGGTTTCATGTGCTGTTTAATGTTAATTGCATTAATAATGAAATTTGTTCATGGATGCAAAATATTAAAATCTTTTGCAGATCCAGGAACAAATTTCATGAAAGGTGAACCCTTCAAAAAATTTTCAGGGGCGGTATGGTTTTCCATTATGGCGCTGGATGTCTTACATCAGGAGTCAGCAACAAGCACCCTCGGTGAGATTTTTATGCACCCTCATTATATTACACACATCACCTCACTTTGTTAATGCATTTTCCAAATGTAAAACATATTATTGAAAGTTTGGTTAACAAAACATTTAATACTACATCATATATAAAAATTATGGAGAATCTTTCAGAAGAATTTCTTCCCGATTTGCAGATTTTACAAAATTAGAATTTGTTGTAATATTTTTGTTAATCCGTTTAACATGTCTTCTGATAATGCTTCTGCTGTGATTGGCAAATATTTTGAGCTTAGTAATACGGATGAAATAGAATTAGAAATAATAAATCGATATTGTTTTAAAAGCATGTCATAATGATAACATTAACATACTTTGGAATTTACTTCATTAACATAAATATCTTATTTTAAGAAAGTGTGCACTAATAATTTGTTTATATTTTGCAACTATGTGTAATTGCGAATGTTTGTTTTCAAATATAATGTATCTAAAAACGAAATATCGATCAACACTCAGATTTTAATTTACAAAACTGTTTAAGAACATGTAATTCTAATTATACTCCCATTATAACAAATTAACAGAAGATTTGCAATGACAAGTGTCACACCGAACCATTTGTCATTGTTTGTTTTGCATTTATAATTTAAGTATATGTACAGTAAAGCATCGATTATCCGAATACCGATCAACTGAAACATCGGTTAACCAAAAGCATTCCAGATGGCAAATTCAAATTTCCAATAGTTCTGTGGCGGTGCAGCACTCTCCCCCTCCCTGCCAACCTAAACTGTAGACATACTTTAATGTACTACTTTATGTAAGGTGTGTAAGACGTGTGATATGAAATATATATAGTGTTTAATATATTTTTTCGTAAATGATCAGTTATCCAAACAACCCCAGTCCCAAATTATTTTGGATAATCAATGCTCTACTGTAATTATATTTCTTGAAATAAAACCTTTTTTTTTAATAAAAGTTGTTTTTCCATGCGTCTGCAATAAATTTTGAATTTACATTGCGCCTTATTGACAAAACGGTTGCTGACCGCTGCCTTAGATAATTAGTCTAACTTATAACAATAATTTAATCAGTATGTCCCAAAATTTACAGATTTATAAAATTAAGATAAATATAATTTTAATGATAAATACCAGATAATAAAAGATGGTCCGAATAAATGTTTTCTAAACACCTTCGAGGTTTGTAATGTTTAACGGCTTCAGAAATGGCTTCTATGTGTTTCGGCCTGGTTCCACAACAACCGCCAACTATATTTATAAGACCATCATGTGCAAATGCCTGAAAATTATTTGATATATGCCATGTTAAATATTAATAAATATTAGAAAGAGTAATGAAAAATTACTTGTAGACATTCTGCCATCTGCTCTGGAGTTTGGTCATATTCACCAAATGCATTTGGTAAACCTAAAAATAAGTAAAAAATATATTAACTGACATTGCTGAATGCTAATGAAAATATTACTGTGATTGAATATAGAAAAAAAAAAAAAGGGAGAGGCAAATGCCCTGTTTGCACCTTCTGCACACACCTATGCTTGAGACCACTTTTGTATACATGACATATATTTCTAATACAATTTAACACACTTCTCTTTAATAATGTAAAGTTAAAGTTCTTTAAAAAATATATATCTTAACCCCAAGAATTTTTGAGGGTGGTCTATTCCAGATAAGTCAAGCCATGTCTCTCATCATACAACTGTCTCGTTGTGGGCTTGGCCAAACCCATATTGAATATGATTAAAAAGGCCATCTTAGTGCTAAAGGCAGAAATAATAAAATAAAAATAAAATATACTAAGAATGTTTGAAGATTTCATACTTTTATTAATTCCTATCTTCAAATATATTTTTCATTATTTTATACAATTAATAATAATGGTAAAATTGAAGAGATTTCAAATTTCAATGAAAATTTTTGTGCTGGTAGTAAATATAAATTCACTCTCAGTGGTAAAAAAAATCAATCAAAACTTTATTTTTCTTAGTAACCAAACATAATGGGTGAATCAAGTATTAACATACAGGAAAAGTGTTTATTTTAGTATATAATCATTTAGAAGTTACAAAATATACTCTATAAGGATGTAATTTAACTAAATAATGAATATATGGAACTATACATATTAATGAATCATTCCACTTAAGGAATGCATGTATATGTTTTCCAAGAGTGGAAAGATTCATTCAAATGGTAACACATTTGATGTTATTTGTACTGTACATATTTATCACAAATTCAATCCTTCAGGTAGCCCATGAGCACATGTTTTACCTGGTATGCCATAAGCTGTAACCTCCAAATTTGTATAAAATGAAAAATCTGGGATCCTCAGAATCATAGTAATCAATCCAGTAACCAAATCTAACCACTGTCATGTGTATGTAAACTTATTAAAATAAGACAAACAAATAAATATTATGAGACAAGAAATTACCTGCATTTGGATAACATATAACAAACGAAGTGGTGTTCTTGCCGATTGTTTCAATAAAGGGACGCATTTCGACCGCACCCAAGGCACAATTTAATCCAAGACTGTTTAAAAATGAAAAAAACAAACTGTTTGTTTTAATTTATAAACAAATTATGAATATGAAGAGTAATTATAAATATTAATTCTTCAAGTATTCGTGATATTTATATTTTAGCATTTTCAATTTGACATTAATAAATTATGAAAGACTAATATACAGATGTATACATATAAAGAACATATTCAAATATTCTATAAAATACAGGAAAAATAAATAAATTCTATGAACAATTAAAGTATAAACAATAATATGAAACAAACCACACTAAAGAACCATAATTAACTCCAGAAAAAATACTTTAATCATGGAAAATAAGGATTATTTATTTTTGTTTTTGATCCTCAATGGATCTTCTTCAGATCTTGTGTTTATGAATTGGTATGCTCTGGAGTTAATTATGGTTTTTAGAGTGTTTTATTTCATATAAGCCAGTCTTGAGAAATCTTGAAAAGTATCAACAATAAAACAGAAGTTTGTATATAGTCAATTGGGGCCTCCAGCCCGAGCTATCCAAATCTGGTCTCGATTTTCATCTACCTTACTGTGTTCTCGAGATTAATGAATGACAGACAGCCAACAGATGGACTACAGTTGAAAAATCTGTGATTTTAAAACCACAGCCCAGTAAAATTAGTTACTGGGCTGCAGTTTCAACAATAATTAAAATTATAAGATGAATTTTGACAAATAATTATTAAAAATTTAATTCTTCCTTATATATTTTATATATTATATGTATCCTTATATTTAATTTTTCCATCTAATACTTTAGAATTTCAATTTTGAAAGACAAAAGAAACAACTAAGGTCTATCATCAACACTTTCTTATAAAATATATTGAATATTATGGAATTAACTGAATATAAAAGATTTACCTTTAACCTCACTCTTATTTAATAAAATTTTAGAGTTTTAAAATGTTAATTAAAATTTAGCAAAGTAAATACAGTAATATAAACTTTTAAAATAAATATTAAAATTATTAATAATTACCACATAGGTTTTACATGCGATACACTTATTACAAAGGCTTCGCAAGTCTGTCCGGATAATGTTCTTCCACTTTTATCAACAATCGTGCCCGATATCTATTTTCAATGTATTAATAGTTAAAATAGTAATTAATATCAAACAATTTACAACTTTCTTCATTAAGATAATTAAAAATTATTGCAAACAAAAAAATTAACATTTAACAACTACTGGTTGAATATATAAAGTATATTTCTCATTTATGACCAGTCTCTGGGAAAATCAAGGATTGCCACTTATGGGAGGTTTAATAATGTTAATAATACATTTAATATTTTATTAAACGTATATTATATTTTTTATTTGTGCCATCATCGGAAGGAAGTCCTGTAATGTTTTGCATAGAGAGGCGAACGAGCAACCTCTAATAAAAGGTCAACTCTGCCATAAGACTGTTATTTTCCCGAGACGTGAGAAAGGACATCGGAAGACTCATTATTGTATAGTCTTAAATTGTTTACTAATTTTACAATTAATGTCCTGGCAATTTTAAAATTAAATTTCAATAGTAATTTGTTAATGATAAAGTTATTACTTTATCAATATTTAATATACAATTTACACAGAAAATTGTAAATTAAATATATAACAAGAACTATAAGTGAAAACAGATACATACAGAAATTATAATTAGTGACAATAACAATTAACTTTCTGGGTTTAAAAAAAGATAATCAATAGTTCTTCAAAAAATTTTTAATGTATTAATATAAATTTTCAAAAAATATTAAATATAAGATACTTACAAAAACAGGAACTCTCTGATAATTTTTTTCAAATAAAGTTTCAACAGCAAAGATTGCAGCCTTTCAAACAAAATAATAATAATTAAATTTCTGTTCAAATTTTTAATTATTATTAATTAATATAAGTTTTTGAATATCTTGATAAGTTAAAATGAATCAAAACAAAAATTAATAATATGTAATAAAAACATAAGTATTTATTATATTTACACTATTAGCTTTCCTCTGTATTATAGGATAAATAAGTAAACAAGATAAGTATTTATGTAGTAACACAATGCTAATTTTTGTCATTTTTCCATGTATCACTGGATAATATACTCTTTCGGTACATTAAACAAACAATTAGTAATTGAAAAAAGTCAACAATTGACTGATGTAGAAAAAAATGTATTAAAGTATACTTCCGCAATTATAATTTTATTAAAAAATAAATAAACCAGCTTGCTATAGGATCTTTGAACTTCAGTATAATTTTATTTGGATTTGGATTTATTAATATAACAATAGTAACTTAATATAGAAGTTATATAGAATCAGAAAATTTTTCTCACAGTATGAAGAATAAGGCATATTTATTTAATAAAATAAAAATTTATATATTAAAGTTTAATTAAGACAAAATATATAATTAATCTAAAATAAAAAATTAGTTAACAAAAAAAATCTTGAAGTTTTAGTAGTTTAAAATAAATTATAATTTTGTTAGGTAGTGTTGCTAAGTTAAGGATTTTCAAGCTAAATTTAGGTATTTTGAGCATAGGAAATAAGAATTTGCAATTAGCGTTTATGGTTTTTTTCTCTGATATTTATATTTTAATTAAATTCTTATTTATCATTTTATAATGGTATTTATTACTTCAGCTGTTTTCATTATTTTTTCTAGCCTAATTTATAAAAAAAAAAGTTAGCGTGACATTTTAAAAACTTATAATAGCAGATATCTGAACATTTCAAACCAATTAATGAATTTACGTATAAAATATATCTCATATAATGCTGTTTTTCGTAAAAATTACTCAATTTTACACTAATTAACAAGATTACGTGAGGTCTGTTGTACTTTAAATACAATAAAACTGATACACGTCAGAAAATATTTCAAATAATAAAGGATCATTTTTAATTTTAAATTAATAATTATCAAAACTATATTTATACATCTTAATTTTGTTTATTTTTATAATCTATTTTTAATCAAATTTATTGTCAAAAGTAAAAACAAATATTTCACTTACTTCTTTATTTTTTGCTTTGTTGGAATAAAATCAGAATAAAATTTAAAATCAGTGTATGTAATTGAATTTTTAAAGAAAAGTTCGAGATTATTAATAAAATTGTTACCTTTGCATTTGCCGTGTCAAAAATTGTTTCAATTAATAAAATATCACAACCGCCATCAAGAAGACCACGAGCTTGTTCCAAATAAGCTTCAACTAATTCATCAAAATCTTAAAATATAAACAGAAATACATTTTTTATCATACAATATNTGTATACATATAAAGAACATATTCAAATATTCTATAAAATACAGGAAAAATAAATAAATTCTATGAACAATTAAAGTATAAACAATAATATGAAACAAACCACACTAAAGAACCATAATTAACTCCAGAAAAAATACTTTAATCATGGAAAATAAGGATTATTTATTTTTGTTTTTGATCCTCAATGGATCTTCTTCAGATCTTGTGTTTATGAATTGGTATGCTCTGGAGTTAATTATGGTTTTTAGAGTGTTTTATTTCATATAAGCCAGTCTTGAGAAATCTTGAAAAGTATCAACAATAAAACAGAAGTTTGTATATAGTCAATTGGGGCCTCCAGCCCGAGCTATCCAAATCTGGTCTCGATTTTCATCTACCTTACTGTGTTCTCGAGATTAATGAATGACAGACAGCCAACAGATGGACTACAGTTGAAAAATCTGTGATTTTAAAACCACAGCCCAGTAAAATTAGTTACTGGGCTGCAGTTTCAACAATAATTAAAATTATAAGATGAATTTTGACAAATAATTATTAAAAATTTAATTCTTCCTTATATATTTTATATATTATATGTATCCTTATATTTAATTTTTCCATCTAATACTTTAGAATTTCAATTTTGAAAGACAAAAGAAACAACTAAGGTCTATCATCAACACTTTCTTATAAAATATATTGAATATTATGGAATTAACTGAATATAAAAGATTTACCTTTAACCTCACTCTTATTTAATAAAATTTTAGAGTTTTAAAATGTTAATTAAAATTTAGCAAAGTAAATACAGTAATATAAACTTTTAAAATAAATATTAAAATTATTAATAATTACCACATAGGTTTTACATGCGATACACTTATTACAAAGGCTTCGCAAGTCTGTCCGGATAATGTTCTTCCACTTTTATCAACAATCGTGCCCGATATCTATTTTCAATGTATTAATAGTTAAAATAGTAATTAATATCAAACAATTTACAACTTTCTTCATTAAGATAATTAAAAATTATTGCAAACAAAAAAATTAACATTTAACAACTACTGGTTGAATATATAAAGTATATTTCTCATTTATGACCAGTCTCTGGGAAAATCAAGGATTGCCACTTATGGGAGGTTTAATAATGTTAATAATACATTTAATATTTTATTAAACGTATATTATATTTTTTATTTGTGCCATCATCGGAAGGAAGTCCTGTAATGTTTTGCATAGAGAGGCGAACGAGCAACCTCTAATAAAAGGTCAACTCTGCCATAAGACTGTTATTTTCCCGAGACGTGAGAAAGGACATCGGAAGACTCATTATTGTATAGTCTTAAATTGTTTACTAATTTTACAATTAATGTCCTGGCAATTTTAAAATTAAATTTCAATAGTAATTTGTTAATGATAAAGTTATTACTTTATCAATATTTAATATACAATTTACACAGAAAATTGTAAATTAAATATATAACAAGAACTATAAGTGAAAACAGATACATACAGAAATTATAATTAGTGACAATAACAATTAACTTTCTGGGTTTAAAAAAAGATAATCAATAGTTCTTCAAAAAATTTTTAATGTATTAATATAAATTTTCAAAAAATATTAAATATAAGATACTTACAAAAACAGGAACTCTCTGATAATTTTTTTCAAATAAAGTTTCAACAGCAAAGATTGCAGCCTTTCAAACAAAATAATAATAATTAAATTTCTGTTCAAATTTTTAATTATTATTAATTAATATAAGTTTTTGAATATCTTGATAAGTTAAAATGAATCAAAACAAAAATTAATAATATGTAATAAAAACATAAGTATTTATTATATTTACACTATTAGCTTTCCTCTGTATTATAGGATAAATAAGTAAACAAGATAAGTATTTATGTAGTAACACAATGCTAATTTTTGTCATTTTTCCATGTATCACTGGATAATATACTCTTTCGGTACATTAAACAAACAATTAGTAATTGAAAAAAGTCAACAATTGACTGATGTAGAAAAAAATGTATTAAAGTATACTTCCGCAATTATAATTTTATTAAAAAATAAATAAACCAGCTTGCTATAGGATCTTTGAACTTCAGTATAATTTTATTTGGATTTGGATTTATTAATATAACAATAGTAACTTAATATAGAAGTTATATAGAATCAGAAAATTTTTCTCACAGTATGAAGAATAAGGCATATTTATTTAATAAAATAAAAATTTATATATTAAAGTTTAATTAAGACAAAATATATAATTAATCTAAAATAAAAAATTAGTTAACAAAAAAAATCTTGAAGTTTTAGTAGTTTAAAATAAATTATAATTTTGTTAGGTAGTGTTGCTAAGTTAAGGATTTTCAAGCTAAATTTAGGTATTTTGAGCATAGGAAATAAGAATTTGCAATTAGCGTTTATGGTTTTTTTCTCTGATGTTTATATTTTAATTAAATTCTTATTTATCATTTTATAATGGTATTTATTACTTCAGCTGTTTTCATTATTTTTTCTAGCCTAATTTATAAAAAAAAAAGTTAGTGTGACATTTTAAAAACTTATAATAGCAGATATCTGAACATTTCAAACCAATTAATGAATTTACGTATAAAATATATCTCATATAATGCTGTTTTTCGTAAAAATTACTCAATTTTACACTAATTAACAAGATTACGTGAGGTCTGTTGTACTTTAAATACAATAAAACTGATACACGTCAGAAAATATTTCAAATAATAAAGGATCATTTTTAATTTTAAATTAATAATTATCAAAACTATATTTATACATCTTAATTTTGTTTATTTTTATAATCTATTTTTAATCAAATTTATTGTCAAAAGTAAAAACAAATATTTCACTTACTTCTTTATTTTTTGCTTTGTTGGAATAAAATCAGAATAAAATTTAAAATCAGTGTATGTAATTGAATTTTTAAAGAAAAGTTCGAGATTATTAATAAAATTGTTACCTTTGCATTTGCCGTGTCAAAAATTGTTTCAATTAATAAAATATCACAACCGCCATCAAGAAGACCACAAGCTTGTTCCAAATAAGCTTCAACTAATTCATCAAAATCTTAAAATATAAACAGAAATACATTTTTTATCATACAATATTTTTTTTATAAATAAAAGGACTAACAAGACTGATATTAACTAATATTCCTATATTCTGGATATTCTACTGAAGGAGAAATGGATAGAGTCTTGTTTGTAGGACCCATTGATCCAGCAACATACCGAGGTATACCTGTAAGATTAGTTTTAAAACTTTTTCAAAATAAAAGCACTAATAATACTAAAATGTTTTATCAGAAATCAAAAAACTATAATTACAATTTATATTTAAAAATATGATGTTATCTGATTAAATTAAATGATTAAATGTAAAAATTGTTTGTGACAGGATACCATTTGCATTATGATTAGGTGATTACAATAATACCCCAAACTTACGCGATAGGTGGGACCGAGTGATAACCGCGTAACTCGTGGTATAATTTTGCAATTTGTGTAAAATCCAAGTCCGATGTATGTAAGCTAATAAATGTTCTCATTAATCTTATCTCGTCTTTTAATTCATTCACGGTTTCAAGAAATCACCACATAGAGTCTCTCAAGTCGCCGTAGATATAACAAACACAGAAATAAATAACACAAAATAAATTGTAGCTATGTGTTGATTCCGCGTGACATGGCCGAACATGTAAGCTGAACAATAGTTCCACTTACATGTACAGTTACTTGTGAGGGGAGTGAGTAATCAAGAGTTGCATGGCACTCAAACAAAAGACAAATTGACGAGATTTGAAAATCGCATAACTCCGGGTTCGCGTAAGTCGAGATAGCGTAAGTCAAGGTATTACTGTATATAACTGATAGTAAAATTATAATATACGAAGTTTAGAAATTTATTTACATAGATCTTATAATTTGCTTTAAGTTTTTATTATTGGATGATAGGAAGAGAAACAAACATGCAAACAATTTTGAATAATTTACCATCTTCAGGCATAATTTGTTATATAGTAATGTCTTATTCCCTATTCATAGCAAACAAGATTTTAGAAATAATGTAAGAAAAGTTAAAACTAAACTATCAGAAAATATCCACCTAGAGAAATTATTAGCACAATAAAAAAAATTACAGATTTATAGGACAAACGTAAAAACTAATGTAATAAATGCAGATAATGCTAAGTCACAACTGAATGCATGGAAAAGGCCACTTCAACATAAATGTGAAGTTTTTCATATAACTTTGTGTTTTATTTAACTGATAACTGTTTTATTTTAATTATTCTGTAATATTCTCCTACAGCAAGACGTTCATTTAATGTTTAATTTATTGTATTCAACATATATGTTATCTTCCGTATCCATCCATCCTTCTGTTGAAAGATGATAAATAATGTTTTCATGTTTGTTTTTCTTCCTGTGCTTCAATTAAAGCAGTAGTCTGTTGTGTATTATTAAATAAATTCATAAAATATATCTTTCAAACACTATAATATAAATATAAATTATTATATTAAATTTGTTTTTAATAACAAACCTGTTTTATTAAATATATCATTGCATGCTTTTCTAGCAAGTTCTGCTGCTTCTCTATTTAGTCGATAAACCTGTAAATAATTAGCGAGCAAATTAAAAATAGGAATATTTTTCATGATTTAAATAGAATAATTAAATAATAGAAAATATATACAGTGATTATTTTTTTATGATACTTTATTTCACAAAGCATTAGTTATTTGAAATATATTAAATCAGATTAATTTTACATTTAAATGATATATAATAAGATTTATAGTGGAACTGAAGTGATGGCATCTAAGTGCAAAAGGTTAAAAATCTATCCGAAGTATTCATGTATTTTTTACAATGCTTATTAGTTTCTACAAGTAATCTTTAAAAGAATGCTAAATTTTATTTTAATTCTATTTAAAATAACTATAAATACCAAATGCTCCATCTTATAGTCAGCCTGTGCAATAGAAGTACTACTGNCTAACTTAAAGCAGAAGTAGCTTAACTGTCTTTTAACAAAGCGGCTTTACTAGGAAATGCACCCATTATATTTTGTGCTAACTATCAGTTTGTGCTAGGGTTGTCAACTGTTCAGAATTTTGGTTACTTTTGAAAAATCGTTTGGAAATATTATGAAAAAATACGAGGAGGAGTTTTTTAATTACCCCTTTTTCCTCATTAAAAGTTTCATTAATTGTATTCTGAATTATTTTCATTTCCATTAGTTTACTTTTTTCCTGTTTTCTATTTTTGTCTCCACCCTGTGAACACTAAGAGGGCCTGATTTAATAATAATCATTGCTGTCAAGTCCACAATGTCATCAGAAGCAGGATGATAAGGGATGGATGGTCTTGGAGTATCCGGAAATGAAAAATTTCTGGAGGTTTTCAACCCATCTGGATTCATTACTGGATCCCAAGAGCAGTAGGCTGACACCATAATTGCTTGAGCTATCCAGTTGTCTGATGATGATGATTGTCAAGAGAAGAAGAAAATTTTCCTAAGATTGTAGGCTTTCTTTTGCTCATCACTGTGTTTAAGTTGTATTTTTTCTCACAATATGTTCAGAATTTAATATTTTGAAAGTTGATAACCTGAGCTTGTGCAGTCTTTAATAATGTGACCAAAGCACGAGATGGCTCTTGACATATCTAAGATGAATTATCTATAAAAAATGTCCTGGGATCAACTCTAGATTTGAATCAACTTGCCATTCCAATGGACTTAGAATGATAGGTTGCAAACCATCTTGCAGCGTTTTCTTACGTTTATACTATTACTTGAACACTAATACAGATATACCTTGCTTCATGCAACTTCATTTAATATTGTTTAACTCATACAATATGTACTAGAAGATTCAATTAATATGCAATGATTCAATATAATGCAGTCACTACAACTATAAAAATTAAATATGCCAATACTTTACAGTATTCAGTAATAATATAATTTTGCTTTAAATTCAGTTTTAATTAAATTTGTTACAAAAAGTATTTTTATTATTATTAAATTGATGATAAAGTTTTTATTGTTCTTTCAGGAATTAAATACATTTACAAAGAAATACAGCAAAAGAGCTTTAAATACTAATTGGGATAAATATGAAGAAAAAACAGAGACGTCCGAAGAATTGGCCGGAATGGACTTTCAAACTGCATTGAACTGTTCAAGTAAATCTGTTTTTAATACTCATTTTTCTTTTCTTTTAAATGTAATTGTGGAGAAAAATTTGTACAAATTTTTAAGATGTTTCTTCATAGATATTGAGGACTTTATTACAGAATTTGTCTGTGTTGTGTTTGTATCTCTAAGTTCCTGCATAAAATGAATTATATAGTGAAACAAAAACAAATGCTTTTTTAAGATTATTGTGAATGGATTAAATCCTGTGCTGAAATAACAAACACATTTTGCAAAATTTCTCTGAATTACTGCACTATTGCATAATTGCTACTATAACCTTAATTGTCTTGAATGTAGGGGATTTAAGACATTCTAGAATTCTGCATTTCTTCTTTATGAAATCTGTTGACTTATTTTAGAATTGTAACTACCTCTTATTTGTAATTTCTCTTTCAAATACATGTTATACTTGCACAACACTTTTGAAATATAATTGCACTATTTCTGTTGTGTGCTCCAATCTGTTTTGATAGAAACCAAATATACATGCAAAAATGTTACATGCATTTCATAAATATTTTCATGAATGAGACTTCATGTAATCACGCTTTAGTGAACACACGCTATATATTATACAGTGTACACAAACCGTAGTGGTTTTCAGGACTTTCTTATGAGAGGGCTAGAATTAGGATTATTATTTACTATATTTTGCCATGTATAATGCACACCCACATTTTTGGCCCAAACTTTCAGGAAAATCACCTTTTGTTCATAATCATAAATAAAAAAATTAAAAACATTTATACAGGTACAGAATTAGTACTACTAGTGTATAATACAAATCCTTATTTTTCTCTCACAAATATGGGCAAATAAGTGTGCATTATACACAGAAAAATATAGTAATTAACTAGAATCTTGTTGTTTGAGTGGGGCATTATCTTCTTGCCCTTCTGTTTAAGAATATTCAGAAAAGTAAATATATAAAAATTATAAACTGATCTAAAATACATCTGAATTTTGAATAAATTTATTGTTAATTTATAGATATTAAATTTCAATTGGCATCAAAAGGTTCTGTACGGTTTGTTACTATTTATTACTTATATTTGTTATAATGTATTCAATGATTATTTTTTGATAAAAATAACACAATGAAATTATATTCTTATAGTTACATTCTCTTATTTCAGGTAGTGCTGTTTCACAGCTAAAGTTAGAAGAAGAAAAAACTTGGGATGAAGAATTTTTAAAAATTGATTCAAATGATTTCACTTCAATTAACTGTGATAATTTGATTCAAGCTTTAGAATGCATTCCTTTTCATGATAGAATGGCTATTTCTGAAAATTTTTTTATGGTAAGTAGTTATAGGATCCAGATCTACTAGCTCTATTTTGTCATAAGGCAATCTTGTAGAATTATCTTGCAGATTGTCTTACGAATAACAGTTTTAAATACAGTTGTTACATGATCATATATGGATGAGAGAAATCTTTTAACTAAAAAGAAAATTCAGAAATGTGCATAAAGTTAAAAAATTCAAACTATGATACCGAATAGGATCGTAAGCTTCAAAATTTGAACTTCAAGGGAGTCACTAATGTTTAAATATTGTAATTTTTTAATGATGTTTTTATTATAATGTGTATTATTAAACTCAGATGAATTTTTCTTAACACAGTTTACTAGTTTGATTTCAGTGGCAATCTGATGCCGACCACTGGCCTAGCCCATGATAGCATAGAAATAAAACATTGTTAATGCCTAAGGATGGAAACTATTTAATAAAAAAAATTACTACAGAAATAATCTTTTATGTAATATTTTAATTTAAACTCTATTCTATGCAGGCTTATTTATATTTATTGTTACTGTCTTGATGTTTAGTTATGATTAGATTCTTTACCAAAGTTAATTTTTATGAGTTGTTATTTCTCTGTTGTAACATATATTTTCATGATAAGTAAAGTAAATTCCCATTGTTGTGTTTTTTATATCCACATCATCTTCAACATTGTTAGTCTGACTTTCTTTGAGATTGCTGCTTTATTTCATGAAATGAACTTGGAGTGAAATACAGGTATCCATTGATTAATTTAATATGGTTAATTAATTCCTCGATCCTGCTGTGTATATCAAAATTTGCTTAATCAGATTATGGTATCTATGTTAAGTAAAGACAGCAGGTAAAGCCATGTAAATTAAAACTTCTGCTGCATATGTAAAGGGACTGCCACAATTAATTTCGTGCTTTATGCCTACATCACCCCTAAGGGACTATATTTTTGACTTATTCAATCACTACATACCATATATTCTGTATATATAAGACCCTGTAACTGTTAAATCTCACCTACAGCTATCATGTAGAAAAATATGCTTAATTTTCACTGATTTTTGTAACTTAGAAATAGTGAAATTATATTTGTTCTTAATTATGTCACTGCTTTTACTATCATAACATATATCTACCTAAAATTTTTTTAAACTATTATTAAAAGTAAAAAAATAATAATAAATTATAGGCAGTCATTCATATAGAAACAGATACAAGAAATCCTCGTTAATTTGAACTTGGATAGTTCGAAATTCCGTTAGTTCATAACTGATATTTTATCCCGGCCAGGAATACAGGGATTTAAATGTTAAGGAATTGAGTTAGTTCGAAATGTGGCTACTTCAAAATTCTGTCCAAACTGTGATAAGAGTATTAAGTGTCATTTAGATCAAAGTGCCACAAAACTGTAAGAACAATTGACCAAAAACAACTCTAATCTGGTCAATATGGCTTTACTTTTACAGTAACACATTTTTGGGTGTCACCTTACACATAGACTATCCTTTTATTTTCTTATTTCATAAAATACGGCTGTTTACGAAATGGCAATATTGGGCTACAAGTAGCAGATTGAGAATTTGTAGACTTTAGATTACTACATTTGGGCAACTTTAAGAATAATTTGGGCTAAATTTCGAGGAATTCTGTTTTACTTTATATAAAACCTATCTGGAAGCCTGTGAGATCACTGGATAAATCTATTTACCTGCAGTTTATTTATATTATTATTAATTAATGAAAATAGCATTTTGTATACGTAGCCATATTTCATTTCTTTAATAAATTACATCAGTTATATGATATTTACATATGCAGAAGATGTAAATCTCAGATGATTTGAAGTCGCAATTATTTCCTCCCTTGAATTTCGAATTAACAAGGATTTCCTGTACATAATTCTAAATATTCATTAATACATACATCTTCAATCATTAAAGTTATTAATAGTATATTTTTTATTTTGTATTTGTTTTAGGATAATATGGTGAATGAATTTAATAGTGATGCTGAACATCAGAGAAAAATCTATATTCCTCCAAAGATATCTAGAATAGTTCCTAAACAAACAGAACTCGAAAATCAGAGTCGTCAGAAAGAAAGTGATGTAAAGAACATAATAGAATCTCTTACAAATTGCCTCATTCTCAAAGATGAAATGAAGGATGATAAAAATAAGAAAAATATGTTTGTATCTGAGAATGTTGATGATGACGACGACGACACACTAGAAATGTTACTTTCGTTAACTGAAGAAAAGCATAATTCAAAGAAAGTAACACTTCCTTCCACTTCAGGTAAATATATTAATTTTTCTTTTTAAGCTCTTATAAATTGGCAAGTGGTGAGTGGCAGACCACTTGTGAAAAATTCCTGAGATGGCTTGCCTGAATTTGATTCTGGGTTCCCAGAGTGGTGGGCTGATGCCTTAACTTTCTTGGGCATAAGTCCACTTACTAAATTTAGTTTGTTGCTCATTCTACAACTATTGTTTACAATGTCATTTATGGAGTCATTTACAAGATTCAATGTGTCTATTCTGAAGCTTCACACATGCTGTATCATATTTCATATGGTTTTTTAAAAATGTAATTTCAAAACAGAAATTGAGGTTTTAAATCTTTTTAAATTGGGGAAAAAATCAAATATGATATTTAACTTATTTCATTTGTAATTCTAAAGCAAAGACTATTGACTAAAACAAAGTAGATACAGTATATTTTGATGTAAGTTTTAACATTTATACTAGTTATATATTTTAGATGCATGTTTGTAAGTCTTAAAGATAATTATATTTTAATCATTTTAATTACAGAAAGTACAAGTACAAATGTACAATTAGAAAACAAACCTGCAGATAAACCATTAGGTAAGTATTCAAATCAATAGAGTAGTTAATCTTATTTTAAATTTACTTAAATAAATCTTAAGTTTAATTGAGCGTTTAAGTTCATTGAAGTTAATTGGAATTCTGCTCTTTCTAAATTCTCTTACTTGAGATATTCAGTCAGCTTTAAATATTATGAACCAAAAAAAAAAAAAGATAAAAATGATAACTTTTAATACTTTTGCAATGGTTACAGATGATAGAAAATTTACGAAATCATTAAAATTATAATATACGGTGTCTTCCAAACAGAATGCTATCATTTTAAATTATTGTAATTATGTTAATTATTATCCGAGAATGTTGTAAAGTACATTAGAACATTGAAAAACAGTTTAAGTTTCACATTTGCCCATTACAATTTCTCAATGCATTAACCTTTTGTCATCACTCGGCATGTCCGACCGATACTCAAATTCTTCCCATGCTCGCTATGGTATATGTTGTTACCCGTCCTACAATTGCCATAATTCTATGGCTCCGGTAGATTTCTCCCGTCGCAGCGAGTCCGACTTTGCAAACTTCCGAACATTTGAATGCAGGTGGGAAACAAAATTCGGATGGTTATTTGGTCAATCAACGTACAGTACATTGCATACTTTTCAGATAATTATTATAATATAATTACATTAATTTAAAATGGTAGCATTTATTTTAAAGACAGATATTAAATGATAATGTTTAGAAATATATTTTTTATTTTGTATTTGTTTTAGGATAATATGGTGAATGAATTTAATAGTGATGCTGAACATCAGAGAAAAATCTATATTCCTCCAAAGATATCTAGAATAGTTCCTAAACAAACAGAACTCGAAAATCAGAGTCGTCAGAAAGAAAGTGATGTAAAGAACATAATAGAATCTCTTACAAATTGCCTCATTCTCAAAGATGAAATGAAGGATGATAAAAATAAGAAAAATATGTTTGTATCTGAGAATGTTGATGATGACGACGACGACACACTAGAAATGTTACTTTCGTTAACTGAAGAAAAGCATAATTCAAAGAAAGTAACACTTCCTTCCACTTCAGGTAAATATATTAATTTTTCTTTTTAAGCTCTTATAAATTGGCAAGTGGTGAGTGGCAGACCACTTGTGAAAAATTCCTGAGATGGCTTGCCTGAATTTGATTCTGGGTTCCCAGAGTGGTGGGCTGATGCCTTAACTTTCTTGGGCATAAGTCCACTTACTAAATTTAGTTTGTTGCTCATTCTACAACTATTGTTTACAATGTCATTTATGGAGTCATTTACAAGATTCAATGTGTCTATTCTGAAGCTTCACACATGCTGTATCATATTTCATATGGTTTTTTAAAAATGTAATTTCAAAACAGAAATTGAGGTTTTAAATCTTTTTAAATTGGGGAAAAAATCAAATATGATATTTAACTTATTTCATTTGTAATTCTAAAGCAAAGACTATTGACTAAAACAAAGTAGATACAGTATATTTTGATGTAAGTTTTAACATTTATACTAGTTATATATTTTAGATGCATGTTTGTAAGTCTTAAAGATAATTATATTTTAATCATTTTAATTACAGAAAGTACAAGTACAAATGTACAATTAGAAAACAAACCTGCAGATAAACCATTAGGTAAGTATTCAAATCAATAGAGTAGTTAATCTTATTTTAAATTTACTTAAATAAATCTTAAGTTTAATTGAGCGTTTAAGTTCATTGAAGTTAATTGGAATTCTGCTCTTTCTAAATTCTCTTACTTGAGATATTCAGTCAGCTTTAAATATTATGAACCAAAAAAAAAAAAAAAAAAATGATAAAAGANTGTAAAGTACATTAGAACATTGAAAAACAGTTTAAGTTTCACATTTGCCCATTACAATTTCTCAATGCATTAACCTTTTGTCATCACTCGGCATGTCCGACCGATACTCAAATTCTTCCCATGCTCGCTATGGTATATGTTGTTACCCGTCCTACAATTGCCATAATTCTATGGCTCCGGTAGATTTCTCCCGTCGCAGCGAGTCCGACTTTGCAAACTTCCGAACATTTGAATGCAGGTGGGAAACAAAATTCGGATGGTTATTTGGTCAATCAACGTACAGTACATTGCATACTTTTCAGATAATTATTATAATATAATTACATTAATTTAAAATGGTAGCATTTATTTTAAAGACAGATATTAAATGATAATGTTTAGAAATATATTTTTTATTTTCACTTATTTTATATTGATAGTTCTGTAATCAATTTTAAGATAAGTATTTTAGTTTGGTATATTTTATTTACAGAAAAATCAGATATGAGTTTGAATGACTGGTTGGACAGCATTGTAGAAGATTAAAATCAACTTATTGTTAATTCTGAATGATGTTTTATCTATTAAAAAAAAACAAAAATTGTATAGATAATATTTAATAAATTATTTACATTTCAGTTTTTCAGATCTAGTGTACACTTGTATATAAAATCTTAATTGTTCTTTATGTATACTCCCTGCGAAAAGACTTAAAAATTCATATTTTATGAATAGTTTTATTTAATAAAAATTTATAAACTTTACAATAACCTGTTCACTAATTTCTGTTAGCAGTTTTCATGTCAACATAGAACTTGAAACAAATGAAATGTGTGTCCAGGATTTTCGGAATTACACATTTACCAAAGTAATGAAAATTAATGCGTTATATTAAGCGATGGCAAGTGAAACAAAGATTAAAACTACTGATCGGTGATTTCTATTCTGTTTATTGTAAAGACAAATAGAAATCCTTAATATTTAGTGTAATTTGGGTAGAGGAAGAATTACTAATGTACTGTACATAAGTTTTGACGGTACGTGTTACTCGCATCACGAATGATTTGTTTTAAGGAGTGAACAAAATTACGAGAGTTTTAGTATTATAAAACAAAAAGTTCTCGCTTATAGACTACATCTATTAATATTTATGCTTTATCTCTTAATATCTTAGTAATATTTTTATTAGTTTAAATACGTAAAAAATTAAACATTTCAACACAGACATTCAAAATAATTTAAATTTCGAAAAATTCAGATTAGAATTTTAACTTTTGAATATTCGAATTGCGTTAATTTTGTACGTTTTAAGTTCTAAACGACGGTTTTCGTTATTTTGAAATAACTGAATTCTCGTTAACGGTAATTTTGATTTGTTTATTTTAAATATATAAATATATATATTCCTTAGACGATAAGATTACAATAATTACAATTGTAATACAGAAGAAAACTATTTTTTACTATACGGTAAGTGCTCATTGTTAATGAAAACGTATTAAAAATTTATGATGATTCAATTTTTGGGGGCTCAGGGCTTAAGCCCTATTAGTTCCTATGTAGATCCGTTCCTGCAGATAAAGATTTTTTTCAAATACAGTACTTCGTGTGTAATGACAAGCTTGGCAGGGGTGGCTCAGACGTCAGTTTTTCGGGCCTCGAACCAAGGCCTTGCATTCACGGGGGCCCGAACTGCTGCTGCTACATAAAAATTGATTAATACTTAAAATTTACATAGAACCTTTGAAGCGCTTATAGGTTACTGGCATTACACTCGTATAATTGTTATAATATTAAAGAATAATTCAAAACAGGTAATTTTTATACATTGCTATGTGCATTAACTGAAGAAAATTTGTTAATTAGGTTGTTTGTAAAGAGAAGGAATATGAGCACGAACGAAGACAATACTCAAGTAGATGCTGTTACTAATAACGAAGTACAGTCCGACTTAAATCCTAACGAATTGAATTTAGAAAAAGAATTAGAAGAAAGTGAAAAAACGAAAAAGGTAGAAAACGAGGAGACGAAACACGAGATAGGAGCATCTCCGAAAACCAAGAAAAGAAAGAAAAAGAATATCCATAACGTCGAAACGAGGGACTTTATAAACAGGAATTTGGTGTATATATACACTTCTTTCTTCTTTTCGTTTATTATACTATTAAGTATTCTATTGGTCTCGGGAGTACTCGATTTATTTTATGATTCCACTGAAGTATTTCAAGATTGCAAACGTTTACCCACCTCAGTTGCTCCCGAAAATTACGCTTTGGAAATGAAAGTTGATCTGGATGAGACTATTTTGGGTTTCAGTGGCACAGTCAATATCAGTATCTTGTGCATAGAAGCGACCGATGTGGTGGTTCTTAATTCCAACCGTTTAAAAATACACGATAAAAGCATTTCGTTGAAGGATAAAGATTCGAATACTTTCATCGAAATTCGAAGTGTTTACGAAAGAGACCAGTTTCTTAGTCTAGAACTCGGCAAGAAATTGAAGGTTGGAGGAAAATATCAAATTTATATCAAGTACGAAGGCATGTTAAGTAAAAGAGGACTAGGATTTTTTGCAGTTCCGTTACAAAGATCCGATGGTAATGTTCAGTTGTAAGTATTCTACGACTTTTCCATTTTCTAAATTAAAACGTATAGAGTTTAAATATATTTAAACGACGAAATAATTAGTTATCATTAGACCTAATTGCATTATTACACAGAAGTTAGTTAATCCCAGATAATCCGGAATTATCCGATAATACTCCGGTATGAAACTATTGAATACTAATACAGTCGCCCTCTTATAACACTGTTGATTATTCCGTTCTATACGAATTCCATGTTGTACGAGTCACTTAGATTTTACAAATACGT